GAATGGAAGGGCACAGAGTGGAAGGTCATGGATTGAAGGGTTACGGAATGAGTCAGGGAGTGGGGGAAAACACTGCAGACAGACACGGGGCGGGCGATTGTTGAGTGAAAGACTACAGCACCCACGGTCAAAGTTTCGCACTGAATGTCAATGGAGACCAAGAGATTTGCGTTGCCCGCTTGTCACTCCTGTGTAGGTGAGACGAACAGAGCTGCGATCCGTAACTTGGTAAAGGAACACGCCCCGGTGCCGTTAAACTGTATTTTAAAAGAACACATTATTATTCACATGCATGGTACCCGCCTCTGCATGAGCTTATCCGGGCAGTGTCCATCATTTCAGATTGCAATGCAGGACTCCAGCCTCATTTAACTGACACCTATATACATGTGGAGCAAACAGCCCCAGGCGGAATGACATCAGGCTACCTCCGCCCGAGCAATCAGCAGGCATGCCCCTCTCCCGCCGATGCCGATCCGCTCCCACCTCTCACCACGTGACCTGCCGCTGTTGTTGGGCCGGGCCCCGGCTCTGGCGGAAATTTCGCCGCCGTGTATGAGTTCATTGTACCGCGTTGCCGCCTCCCGGCCGGCCGGCAATCTGCGCTCTGAACGAGGAAGAGCTCGTTCTGATGAGCGTTTTCGGCGCCGGATGGTCGTCGGCCGGCCGAACGGCGCGCGTTGACAGCGCCGCTCTTGCGATGGCGGCCGGTCTGATCAGATCCGGGAGCACTCACCGACCGCGGTCGGGCCGGGGCCAGAGGCAGTCCGAGACGGCTGCCGTGGTCCCGCCGACTGCGGTCGGGCCGGGACCAGAGGCGGTCCGAGACGGCTGCCGTGGTCCCACCGCCGCGGTCGGGCCGGGACCAAGAGGCGGTCCGAGACGGCTGCCGTGGTCCCACCGCCGCGGTCGGGCCGGGACCAGAGGCGGTCCGAGACGGCTGCCGTGGCCCCACCGGCCGCGCTTGGACGCCCGGCGGACAACAGAACGCACCTGTGGGCGTGGTGTCGCCCAGTCAGTCCGGTTCGCTGAGGGTGTTGAAAGGAAGGGGTGCAACGGAGCTCGCATTCTTACGCCAGAAGCTTTTGCATGTATGATGCCACACTCTTTTCTGCAAAGGTCTGTTTATTTGGATGCATTGACTAAATCGTTACGAATCTGCTGCATCCTGTGTTGGCGTGGCGTCCTATCGGATCAAAATAAAGGAAACAATGAAAAACAAGCACAAGGTGTCCAAGAAAGTATGTGCGGGATTCATCAGTGATACTTGTGTTTCACAGCACATGTTTACCGGAAATTTGAGGGAGCCTTTGAGTCAAGTCGGCATTATTTTGTATTCTAACGTCTTATGCCAATATCACAAGGGCTGCACATATTGTTGTGGTATCCAAGAAACGTTATAGCTGGAACGCTTAAAATACGTACAAATTATTGCATTTTGTTAAACAAAAAGCAAGTTGACCACTTAAATCCAAATAGACGACATATTACGTTATGATTAAATGTGGCGGTAGGGTTTTCATCTCACAAATCAACAAAAATTTGAAAAATGAAGTCAGTGAATTGCATAGAAGCGCACGTTAACATCATCCTGAACGATTGATATTGGCTCTCTCAGTTCAAACAAACAGGTCAGAGTTTTCTTGTATGGAAGAAACATGAGTTGCCAGGGACGTCAGCGGCTAAGATATTAGGTACAATAGGAACTTAGATTATAAGGCGCAAGAGGAGTTAAGATGACTGCCTGCATTGACAGAAGAAAAATCGGCCTCTCTCATAGTTGCAATAGCGTTTGGGCGCCAACATCGCGTGAAGCCCGAGTGGCAAACGTACGTGGGTTTTATCAGCGTGCGTAACGATTTGTTGCGCTTTGCAGTGCAATGTAGAAGTGGCTTTGCCACCTGCAAAATTGTGTCCACCTTTCATTTGTACATACCCAGGCCTCTTTGGAGAGCACACATTACAACTACGCAGTAGGCAGCTTGTGCGATTTCAGTGGGCGCCTTTTATGCTCAAGTGGGCCCACACAGTCGTCTCACACATTGCATTCACGGCAGCAAACTTTTGTTTCAAATTTGGGAGTGCAGTCGTACCGCATTTCTATCCTTATTTGGCAGTGGCAATACACTCGTTACAGCAACACGGCTATGTTATGATTTGGAAATGCTTCCCTGCTCAGCCCACGTCGCCGTTCCGTCCGGGCCCGGATCAAATCAGTTCAGTCAAAGCGACGGAGGGCTGCGTTTCGGCCGAACGAGATCAGTCACCGGCCGTTCCCCCGAGTGCTGCACCGGAGCTGATTTATCCCATGTCACGGCGCGAGCAGAGGTGCGACGTTGTTTTTCGGCTCGAGCGGTCTGGTTTGATTTAAGTTGTACGTTGCGGGGTCTGACAGCCTCTTCAATGCTGTGATAAGAAGGAGAGCTGCATTACAAATTCACCAGCTCGTTATTCATTGAACTCGCAGCGTAGGAAGCACTGACTCGTCAGCCCGTGTTCAAAAACGCCTCCCTTGTCAGAATGTTAACTGTTTCCTCGCTCTATGGCGGCTAAGGAGGTAAGCACGATGATGATATGGTACAGATTTCATCGCCATCGTACACAGCTCAATGTTCTTCGTGTTACACCAACCAATCACATTCGCATCGCACGGTGACGGAAGCGTTCGGGCAAGCATTGCAAAAGCATCGCATTCGCACATCGTGTGGAAATGAGCACATCCAATGGCTGTGGCCACCCATAAGGACCCAGCGGTCACCATCCGATAGGACGCGCTTTTGCCGCCCCAGCCAGCGCACGGGGAGGCCTGCACTCGTCCGTCGCGGGAGGCCGGCGGTGCGGTGCCGCCGCCGGGTGTCCAGGGAGCTCGCGGCTGACCGGCCGCTGACCCAGCACCGGCCGTCGCCGGCTCTTCGCGGCTGACACGGCCCTAATACCCAATGCCGGCGCACGTGATTGTGTGGGAAGGAGGGCCATCCGTTAGGGCTTCCCCGACGATGATGGAGGTTCAGGTCGTGGGAGCTGGTGTGCCATCCGGTATGACCCTGGATAATACATATACCATTCGCTATGGACTCGGCTAATGGTCCTCGTCTCACCGCTCGTGTGCGATGGAATGTCTGGAATAGATGTTCCCTTTAGTTATCGCCGGTCTATGGTGGCTGCCACATGGAAAGGATGTTCCCCTTAACTCCCAACAGCGTGTGGTGGCTGCCAAGTGGAATAGATGTTCCCCTTAACTCTCAACAGCGTGTGGTGGCTGCCAAATGGAATAAATGTTCCCCTTAATTGTCAACAGCGTGTGGTGGCTGCCAAATGGAATAGATGTTCCCTTAACTCAACAGCGTGTGGTGGCCACAATGGAATAGATGTTCCCCTTAACTGTCAACAGCGTGTGGCGGCTGCCAAATGGAATAGATGTTCCCTTAACTCTCAACAGCGTGTGGTGGCTGCCAAATGGAATAAATGTTCCCCTTAATTGTCAACAGCGTGTGGTGGCTGCCAAATGGAATAGATGTTCCCCTTAACTGTCAACAGCGTGTGGCGACCGCCAAATGGAATAGATGTTCCCTTTAACTCTCAACAGCGTGTGGTGGCCACCAAGTGGAATAGATGTTCTCCTTAACTCTCAACAGCGTGTGGTGGCTGCCAAATGGAATAGATGTTCCCCTTAACTGTCAACAGCGTGTGGCGGCCGCCAAATGGAATAGATGTTCCCTTTAACTCTCAACAGCGTGTGGTGGCCGCCAAATGGAATAGATGTTCCCCTTAACTCTCAACAGCGTGTGGTGGCTGCCAAATGGAATAGATGTTCCCCTTAACTGTCAACAGCGTGTGGTGGCCGCCAAATGGAATAGATGTTCCCCTTAGCTCTCAACAGCGTGTGGTGGCTGCCACCAATGCGCTTTATTGACACGGACACATGCAATCAAAACCACTTTAACAAAAATGAGAGCTGCTGAAGCGTCGTGAGTGTGAGTTAAGCTTACTTCTTCAGCACCTTGCTTAATATGCACGAGAGCTGATGCTTGTCATCTGCTCTCAAACTCATGCACTCCTAAGGTCGCAGCACCCGCGCCATGAACAAGCGCTCTTTCATCTAATAGCCTTCACGGCTCTTCGGGAATCTCTCCGCGACTGTCACTGAGCCTGGTGATGTCTCTGTTCCAGTCCGTCCTCTCAGTGTTGAAATTCTGGGCTCCTCGCTCAGTTCGATGTCGTCCGAAGTCTCGTACGACCTTCTGTGTCGAACGCACGGCTCCCGTCCGCCAGCCAACATCTCCTGGTGGATAGGCGACAAGCGCCTCACCGACGCCACTCAAATGGTTAGTGCCGGCCGTCTGAATGTAAGTGTCGGCATCCTGGCTGTGAGTGTCAGCCGACAGACTTTTAGTATTGGGGACCTGGCTATTAATGTTGGCAGCCTAGCTGTTAGTGTCGGCAGCCGGGCTTTAAGTGTCGGCAGCCTGGCTGCTAGCGTCGGTCATCTGAATGTAAGTGTTGGCAGCCTTGCTGGAAGTGTCGACAGCCTGGCTGTGAGTGTCGGCAGCCTGGCTGTGAATGTCGGCAAAATGACTATAGGGGTGGTATTGTCTATTGGATGCTATTCTGCTGGGTGATGCTATTCTGTTATTCTGCTGCTTTTGCTGGGTGCTATTCGTCGCCGATCGAATTTCTGCATTCAAAATTTTCGCCCCCAGCGTAAGAAGGTGCCATATGATATGAAATGCTATCGAAGTCCATACCTAGTAGAGACATCAGGAATCGGCCATCACCGAAAGCCTCTTTCATCATTGCGATTTTCAATATCATGAACAGAACCAAAACGCTCATTTGTACAATGTCCTTCAACTAATGTCAGAGTAACTGTTGATGGTAGGAGAGCAGGTACACCTGCCCCAGACTATGGGATAGCCAAATCACAGCAGGAGCTTGCTTTCACCCTAGTGACTTGCCGGATCTTTCGTTTTAACTCCATCTACGGCTGGATTCGCTTTCCTCGACCGCAAGAAAAAAGCAAGAACGAAGGACCTCGATAGCCAGGGTAACTGAATACATGACAGGGATCCAGCCGGTGGCAGGTAGCACTGGAAATGACGTCCAATATGCAGGCCCCCCTCGAGGTCATGCCCCCTTATGAAAATCAAGTGTGCATTTCGAGCCCCACCTCAGCCGTCATCAAACTCTCCACCATACCACAGGCATGCTCCAAGCCTGGCGTCACATGTGTTCCCAGGTGGGCGCCTTCCGTCGTGCGCAGCAAGTGAATTGTACTGAAATTTGCTAATAGTTTCGCATCAGGCTGTAGGTTGTTTCTGAACAACATACTCGCCCTGACAGGAAGGGTCGGGGGCAATGCTCACCTTCCCAAGCTTTGTTAAAGATACCAGTCGGGCATATTGTGCAGTCGTGCTGCAATAGCCTCTGGGGAATCTATTGCGCGTTTGTTGACACAAAAACGTGTCCCTAGGATTTCTGATTTCGGAGTAGCGACAGTTTTTACAGCCACTGCAAGACGATCCATGGCCCGTGGGGCGGCAGGCGGCAAACGACGATTCCGCGGACCGCGCGCGGAGGGCTGACACTGTTGCATTAACGAAGCCTTACATTATAAATATAGGTTCGGAGCAAATAAAACTACATCCCGTTGCACTCACAATGAAACAAGAACCATGCCTATTTATGTTACGTGTTCCTACGCTGCATGATTTAATACATATGAGTATGTAAAGCTAA